CCCCTCCTGTTTAGTGAAATAATTGAAAACGCTAGACTCTGCATCATTTCTCTGAAGTGACTTTTTTCTTCCGATAAACTTTGATCAACTGCATTAAGTTGATGCAAACAAAGCAAAATACTTTAAATATGTTGAGATCCTTACTAAAGTGATAGTTGTGTGGGTCTGTATCAGAGTACCTGTGACAGAAGTGCTATTAAAAATGCTCCTTTTTTGCATAGAGGGATCAGGTGAGCTCTGAATGCCATTAATTTGTCCTCAGTTAAAAGTCCTTGAACCCTTCCTTATGATATAAGAACACACATTGTACTTGTGTTTCATGGTAGTTGCAGAAGTGTAGATTCAGCCAAGAGGTAAGAAAGGCAAAAGATGACTGGATATTAAACTGTATCAGTTTTCATAGTTTTTTCATGAGGAACACCAGGATATTGCAATGAGCAGTATCTGTCTTTATTGAGCTGGGTAGGAACATGTATATTCTAAGAATGTAAGGTTTTTTTAATTTCCTTTTGCATCCCTGGGTAATGAGAATGCTGCTGGATTCTACTTAATTATTTCCCTTTTAATTTTTTTTGTATCACTGATTTTTTCTAGATGAGGAAATTGCTTTTGTAGTCATTGCTTTTAATTAGCAACCTTTTTCAGTATGATAATCTTTCATTTTAGAAATCAAGCAAATCCACTTTTCTAACATAAATTTGTATTCAGACATTATTTCACAAAGTTTTAGGGAGTTACCAGTCTTGAACTAGTTGACTGAAGAAAAGCAGATTACACAACTTTCACATTTGCAGTTTTATTGCCAGCTACAACTCCAACCCTCCTACCAGCTGACTGATCTCGCAGCTCTATTAAGTCCTCTCCCAGTTTTTCCTTTTACTTGGTGTAATTTATAAGCATGTTTCCAAAGGAAAACAGTTATGTTTCCTATACATTTAACTGCATTCTTGTCTTCCACAAAAAGGCACCTAATTTGCAAAATAAAGTGACACTGAATGACCCTTTTTTTTTTCCAAGTCAGGTAGTGACCATCTCACTGTTTTGGAAACACCTATTGCAGTGACTGAGACATAATTCCCTTAGGAGGGAAAAGAACATCTAAAAAATAAAGAAGCATGGACGAAACTGGAGCTAGAAAGCTCACAGCAAGTTCTAGCTTCAGCCCTATAGAAAAAGACAATGATCTCTATAGAAAAAGACAACTTTTTTCCACATCATGTGTCCTTTTTATAAATATGTAATGAGATTTTATTGTTGTTGTTTGTCTTCAGATGTGAGAGAATTCACAGTTTTTGGACAACCTAGAAGTGCAGAGTCCAGACATATGTTGTGCTTACTTCTTCCAAGCCCTCCCTTCACCTTGCTATTATTAACTCTTCTGAAGTTTTTAAAATAACTTTCAGACCATCTTGTTTTTCCACTTTAGAAAGGTTTTTGGGGTTGTTTTTTTTTTTTTTAATGTGCGCACCTTCCAGTTTGGCTCTTGTTGTTGTATGAATCTTTAGGTTTAATACTTTCACCTAAGCCAAACCCATAATCAGTGAACAACACTTAATAGAAATTATTTCAGATTTTTGATATGTCATTAATTTTTTTTTAAAGGAGTGTAGAGTAATAATTCATAAAAGAGGGAAGAAGATCTAGAAGTTCCTAACTAAGGCATTGTGGCTTATATGATGACCAGAGGAGTGCTTTGATTGTGGTTTGACTTTGCTTCTTTTCCACACAGTATTTGGAAAACCTTTGTCTCGGTTATCTCTGGAGAAATGAATAACCTCCAGGAGTTGTGGTCTGCACTATGCACTTAAACACTGCTAGTTTCTCTTCTTTTTTCCTTTTTTTTTAAATCCCATAAAATGCTGAGAGGAAGTTAATTTTCTTCATAGCATCCCATATGATGCCATGTTTTAGATTCATGTCCAGGCATGGGGAGGGAGGAGTAAGCAGCTGCGTCATGCTGAGCTGCTTGCAGGAATTAACCCACAACAAATGCCTTCTGTCTTGTTTGTCCTCAGTGCATAAAAATTGGAGGAATGAGGTGAATGAGTGTGCCTGTGTGTTTGTGTATAATTTTCTTGGTTTATGAAATACTTTCCTATGCCTACGAATGCGGAATATATTTAGTGTGTAGAAGGGAACTACAAATAAATGCAAAATAATGCAAATTGTGCATAACAGTTATAATGAGGCTAAATGTAATAATGGATAAGTCATAGTTCTGATGGCAGGAAAGTAAACAAATTTCTTTCAGAAATGTTATGTTTCAGTCGAAGAATTGGCTAAGTGGAAGCTCATAACTGTTTTATAGGTAGTGGAAATGAAATGAAAGGATATTAAATTCCACACAGACCAGAGGATTAAGAAATTCCTGCCTGATGGGGACTAATGATCCAGGGCGGTTACTGAGAATGGCAGTGTGTAAACCTGGCTTCTTTCTATGCTGCTTTCCCTTTGGATGCTTCCAGCATCCATGGATATTTAATTTGAGTTTTTAGAAGGTACTTCCCTGCCCAGCGCTTTTACATCTCCCTATGGACCTGTCATCCATCAAGGTAAACAGTGGATTTCCATTGAATTTATCGATCATCTTCATGATTTTTTAAACTTCAGGTGTATGCCCCTCAGCCATCACATCTCCAAATTGCAGAGCCTTAGAGATGAAAGGCCAAATGCCTTTCTAGTCTTTCATCTCTAGATACCTATCTACCTCCTATCTACCTTCTCCTTCATTCTGGTTACCCTTCTCTGTACCTTCTCGAATTCCTTTTAGATATGGAGATATGGAGACCAGAACTACATATTACTGAATACATGAATGCTTCAAAATTTTATGTAGTCAAAATGCTCTTTAGCATCCTTCCTGATGATGCCCACCATTTTTTTTGCTTCTGTAGCTGCTTCTCCACTCAGAGCAGGAGTTAAGATTTGAGTTGGTAAGAGCTGAGAGCTCAGCAGTGTTCTGACAGTAGTGGCAAAGCCTTCCTTTTGATTTCTAGGGTAAGTGTTAGATTATGCTCTCTTCAAAGTCCTCTCAGGGCTTTATTTAGATCCATGGCAGCCTTCTACTTCCTTGAAAAATGTGCCTTTTCACATGCCCTTATACTTCCCTTTTTTCACTCTGGCTTTTGAGTTCCTCAAAAAATGTTGATGTAAGAAAAGAATAATGTAACACTTTTCCATGTTATATGTCTTCCCTGTTTAACCTATAACAAGCAGAGCGCTCAGGAAGTTTCTTGAATAGATTTTATTTTGAAGTGGAGCCTGACTCCCACTGTTATCCTAGAAATATACTGGTTTTCTTCTTAATTTCTGAAGATTTTTTTATGCAGAATGATGCACAGGAAAATACTGTGATGTAGTGTTAAGTATTGTGTAGTTTTGTTAAACACAGACATGAGTCAGCATTGTGCCCTTGTCTCAGTAAAGGCAGAGTGCATAATGGATGGGTACCCTAGAAAGAGCTTAGCTGTCTGGAGCACTGTGTTTGGCTTCTCCTCCCACACTGCCCAAGCTCAGGGGAGATGTTAACACACGCAGAGGACCTGGAAAAGACCTGCTAAGGAGACTGCGTTTGGCCAGAGAAAAGTCTAATGGGGAATCTAATTGCATCTTTTCACCCTGAAAAGTGAGGTTCCAGAGAAAATGGAAATAAAATCTTCTGACGGGTGCAGACGGAAAGGACAAGAGGCAATCACCGTAAGATGCAACATGAGAAACTTCTACCAAGTTGTGAGGAAAAGTACCTTCACTGTGAGCTGGGTCAAGCAACTGGAACAGGTTGTCCAGAGAAACTGACTGTTTGCAGGGTATGACTGGACAAGCCTCTCAGAAATTGCATCTAACTGTGAACCTGCCTTCAGCAGGTTTAAGTAGGTGGCATCCTTCTGATCTCAATTTTTTGTCTGATTCTGTATTTATGAATAGATAGTGAGAAATTGCTAAAATATGTGTGTTGATTCCTGCAGGTTTCAGTAACATTTGTCCTGCTTACAAATAAATAATGTGAGCAGGAAATCTGAACTTTCAGCAATGTTTGCCTTCATCATCTTGGACAGTAGTATTGGAAAAAGCAATGACTGGGTTTTGGAGTGCATTTATGGGTGAGGCTGTTGCACTCTGGAGACTTCACACTCAGACACTTCAGAGCTTTTCTGTCTAGTTTCTTCCAAAATCACCCAGCCTTGTTCTAACCCCATCAACCTCACTAATCACCGAAAATATGAAGTGGGGAGACAGGGAGGAGTGCTGTAAAATTGTTTCAAACAAGGAGGCTTGTTTCAAACAAGCTGCCAGTGCCTGTGGCAGCTCTCTTCAGCCCCAGCACTGCCTCCCCAGGTAGGAGTCTCATTTCTGTTGCACTGCTGTTGTAGCAGAGGGAGTAATGCTTGGTGGGAGCAAGTTGGGTGGGGAGATGTGGAGTGTGAAGGGTGGGGATTATATGTGGCTCACAGCTGCCACAGATGTGTGCCAGACTGCATGTAGTCACAGATCTCTTTCCCAGTACAGGAGCATCTTGAGGCTATATCTAGCAACCACTGAGACCTTATATAGATCTGAGCCACCAGCAGGCATACCTCAGAAACACCCAGTGTCCAAGAGTGGGTCCAAGGATGCCATGCTCTGGACTGTGGCATTGTTTACCTCCATACTACCTTTTCCTTCATAAAATGCTCTGTCAGTGCACCCTGCACATCACTTTGGTGTGCAACTTGAACCACATTCAAGTTAACATGTCCTGCACGGGTATTTGGTCTTTGGAAATGCTTTGGGCATTAGTTGATTTTCAGGACCAACGCACCAAGGTAAGTGTGGACAACAGCTGGTGATGTTCTCCAGCAGTCAGTAGCTTTAGTAAAACGTGTTCATTGAGCCTCTCAACACAGGTTTCTCTCCTCTTGCTTAACATATATTTAGTGCCAACTCTCAGTGCATTAACTACTGGATGTAAATAAAGTGTCATCAATTCATATGGTCTGCTGTTTCTCTGTGTGTGTATATAGGATGACAAAGAAGACAACAGACCCATGCCAAACAAAGGAGACCATGGACTAGGAAATGAGAAGTTCAAACCCGTGGTACCTTGGCCTCATGTTGAAGGTGTGGAAGTGGACTTGGAATCCATTCGAAGGAAAAATAAGGCCAAAAATGAACTAAATCATCATGGTGGTGATAACAAACAGCAGAACATCATCCAGAGGCAGTATCTCACATTTAAACCTCAGACATTTGTATACCCAGATCCTGTTTTACGACCTGGAGTCCTTGGTAATTTTGAACCCAAAGAGCCTGAGCCTCACGGAGTTGTTGGTGGCCCTGGAGAGGAAGCAAAGCCATATGTTTTAGGACCAGATTACAAAGAATCCATTCAAGCCAGCATTAAAGAGTTTGGGTTTAATATGGTGGCAAGTGATATGATCTCACTAGATCGGAGCGTTAATGACTTGCGTCAAGAAGAGTAAGCAAACCTTTTGTTTTCTTGTAGTTCTGTTTTTATGGCATTCAGTTATTTTCTTTCCATATATCTTAATTGATGCTTAAAATAATATTATTTATTAGGCCAAATACTTAAGGCTTCTTGTACTGACAGGCAAGAGCACTGTACTATACCAAATGTTTCCATATATTCTTCTTAATGCTGTTGCAATGATTCCTTTCATGAAGAGTTAATCTACAGTGATTTATCTCTGAAGTAATTTGTTTTAGTGTCTAATTGCATGTATTTGCATGTTCCGTGTCTAGCCACAGTCTTCATTGTCATATCTTTTCTTAATCTATAATTTAAGATTTGTTTTTAAGAAAGAAGGATTGCCTTTATTAGGCATTCCCATTCTAGTTAGTTTATTCAGTTTTGGTTTACCCCAATGTTTTTAAAATGAAATGTAAATAAATAAGTAAAGAGAGAACAGAAACAAAGAAATACTGTTCTCTTTAAATAACACTGCTCTAATTACCTGCAGTAACAGAAATATAGATCTGCCATAGTGATGGTTGGAGTAGTCTTCTAATAGTTTCTCACAGCATTTGTCATAAAGAAGGAAGCAAACTTAGACAAAATATTTTTTTACTTGCTGGGAGGGTGTCTACTTTGTTGTGGGAAAATTCTCATAGTTTACTAACATTTGCTCAATGATTACTAACAGATTTACACAGTTTGTTCTGACCTTTGATATATGTTGGAACCAATTTTACTCTTAGGCTAATCTGCATTTGATATAATTTTCCTTCTTAAATATCAGCTAAGGACAGGTCTCTGAGCTAACTGATTGATTGGTAAGGCATTTTTTAGTCTGTTTGTTTGGTTGGGGTTTTGTGGAGGGTGTATGAATTTAGATATGAAATTAAGTACTTTGCAATTTTCACTTCCCCCTCATCTCTAGCAGTGGATCGATGCTGATCCCTGGACTGGGTGCCAAGCTCTGGGCTTGTGTTTCCAACTGTGATAGCTGATCTGTTTAGCTGGTCACTCTCTGGTTACTGGGCCTCTGCTCTGGCCTTGTGTGGTGGGTGTTTTTTCCGTTTCAAGGCAGGAGAAAACTGGCCAGCTGCGGGTCTGACTCATACCCATGCACGGACAGCTGCTTGAATTTACTACCTGGTGTGTGCTCACTGAAAGCAAATGAAGTGCACAGAGCACAGCATTTCCCTTCCTTAGTGCTGTGTTCCTCAGATGACTTACTAAAGGTTTCCACTTGCTGGCAGTCAGAGGGGAGAGGACTGTGCCTGTCTGCTGCTGGTGGCAATGAAGTGCCAGCTGTCCTGGGTGTTCTCTTTGTTTTTCTTTCTTTGCTGTGGTCAGCAGTTGGTCCTCTGTGCTGAAGAGATTTTTCTGAAGAGGAAGAAATGATCTGGCTAACCTGTGTAGGTCAGCATTTTCTTTTTAGGAGGTTATTCCCTAGACACTGCTGCTTCTGCTGAGGCATTTGCAACCACTGGGATCCCTTTTGTAGGAGGCAACAGGACTAAGGAAACTCAAAGAAAAAGCATTTCCCCATCAAGTGTTGTGATTAACTGAGCAGGGGGGCTTGCTGTCTGCTGTTGCAAGGAGTTCATTTTAGCGGAACATGGCTTTGGCCCTGCCTTCCTTAGAGAGAGAAGGGGAGGAGGTGGAAGCACACTCCCCTCCTGCCCTCCACTCTGGAAGTACAGCAACGTGTCATGTGTGGGTGGGACTGGGCTGACTCTGCCCAGGCTAGTTGCCATATCTTTGGCAGCAGAACTCAAGTATTCCCTCCCCTCAATTTTTACCCAAGGTGAAGGGCATCAGAGAAGATATGTATCTGCCAAATAGTTCCACACCTGTAGCTTCCTGAAGTATTTTTGGCATAATCTCAGAATTTGTCTTTACTTCTGTTCTGAAGGACATTAATAAATAGAAATTCCCAAAGATGATTAAATACTTTGGGGAAGAGGAGGGACAGCTATGAAAAGATGAATTTCAGAAACAGTTTCCTTCAAGCACAGTTGCAGATAAGTCTTCTCGGAGGTCAAAGCCAGTAGCTCAAATCAAAATTATGTTTTATTATTTAATGTTCTAAGCAAGTAAACAAAACAGCATGAAAAAACAATGGGAACAAAAGGCATCTTTTAGATATAATTTTATTTATTGAATACTTGGGATGGTTGCAATTGCCTTAAATAAGTTAAAGGTATATAGCTTCCATGTGTCTCCTGGGAACAGCAGAAGGGAGGGGAAGCAAGCGAGATTGACTGATATTGATATATGATTTTAGGTATCCACATCCTCACTCTCTAGCATATCCCCCAAGACGAGCAAGAAATGCAGCAAAAGGTAGCACTTTGCCTTTTGGATGCACCATTTATTTTCCTCCTACTGATCTGCTTAAAAAGAGTAGAAGCCTTTGTGGTTAATAAGCCTGGTCAAACTCAGTTTAATCCTACCAAAGAGCAATATAGTAATATTTTTATAGTTAATGCTATATTGGCATTTCTAATTGAGGAAGATCTTTCTGGTAAAGACCAGGTTATTTGTTCGTAGACAGGCAGACCTCACCTCACCCTCTCTTCCTTCAAGCATCAGAATTTTTAAGCATCACCCTATGCAGTCAAGTTTGTTCAGTGAAGTATGTCAAATGCTTTCCCAGGCTCTGCTAGCAAGAGTGAAATAGTGCTACTAGAGTTGTCTCTCCCAGCTTAAAAGTCTTGTAGCCTTAGGGCTTGTCCCTGCTGGAGGGAGAAGAGGGAAGAAATGACAATAAAGGGGGATTCAATTCTGCTCTGTTTAGATTTGACTTTGTAGTCTGACATGTTATCAAGATGATTTGCTATCTGCCTTTATTGATTCAGTAGGAATTTTGCTGGTGATTCTTGGCTGTTTCAGCTGCTCTAGAAAGCCTTAACCCTTGTTGTGTGCTGTAGACAGGAATAATGCTGGATGGTGTGTTGAAATTTTTTGTCAGGTACATCAGAATATTTGTTTTGCCAGTACCACATACTCTTGGCTTATAGATTTTAACCAGTATATTTCAACGTTGAAGCCCAGCACTTCTGCTGACATACAGAAAGTCATAAGTTTGGTTAAACAAAAGCAAGAATATATGGGGATATAAAAAAGTCAGTGTAGAAACTTCCAAAGATGGCTCATCTCACTGCAGCCTTTTCAGCACCCTGTAGGAGGGCCAGGGGAGACATAAACAGGGTTTAGGTGAACCTGTTTGCCACCTTATTTTGTGTTGCAAAGAAGTAGAGCGGGCTTAGCAGGCCCTGTCAAAACATCTGTACAGTAGCTGGAAGAAAACTTTTTCTTAAAACTCGGTGATTTTTACCTTTTTTGGATCTATTTTTATCGTCCTGGTAGGTGGCAGCCTTTTAAGAGCAGTCATTTATATTGGATTTTACATGTTGTACCTGCTTCCTAGCAGACCTGTGATAAAACTAATGTTTCGGGAAGAAGGATATTAATTTGATTGCTCCCTGGACTACTTTTTTTGTAATCAGAAGTCTCCACAGAGGTAGAGCTGAAGTAAAACTAGAGTGATAAAGTTTCTGGGCTACTTTGGATCCAAGATAAACACACCATGCTAGAGAAATAAAAAATGGACCTGGGTCTGAGGATAGATGCTGAGGGGTAACAAGGTGTGTCCTCTCAAAAAAAAAAAAAGTCTGAACAGACAACTTCAGAGAATTCTAGCTAGGAATAACAAGAACTTAGTTGTTTATCCTGCATAATGATCCACTTGTCTAGAGAAGTTTAAAATAAAATTGAATTTAAAAAATCCATCTATACTGGGTCTAACTAGTGATTGTTCCTGTTGACAACCTTATCTCTAGCTCTGGCCAATAACATATACTAGTGAGAAAACATGCAAGAATGGATAAGCTTCATTCCTGGCAATCAGTGGGCTGGAACACTTGAGCCAAAAATTGCAACAGGATTGTCATGCTTCATAGACCTCTTTCTCTGCACAGACTTGTCTTTTAAATTCATATATACACCTGAAATTAATGACATCCTGAGTCAGTGACTGCAGAATGTGGTGTTTGTTTTAACCTCTCCTCCCAAATAACTGGCATGTACTTCTGTTACTCTGCTGCTCCACAGTATGGGAATATCAATAGATATCTCCATGAAGCTACTATATAAATGTTTCATGTTCCTTCCTTATTATTCCTGCCATTTTATTTCCCCTGAGCTAAAATTCTTAAAGAGCTATCCACATTTGACTCCAAGATTTTTTTTAAATTTTTTTTTTTCCAGTGGTGATACAGAGTTCAGGGTTTGTCGCTGAGCATATGCACTGAGTGGCCTAACACTTCATATACAGTCATTGCACTTGCAATGAGCTCTCCTGCCAGCTCATTTCCTTGGTAGTGTCCTTGAATTGTTCTGCAGCTGTTTATAGTCATTTTAATTGCAACTACCAAGAACTTTTTATTGTTCAGTAATGACCTGGAAGAGGAGGTGAACTGCTTGGCTGCCAGCACAGACATTTATGCTGCTACAGTCACAAACTCACTTAAAAATTGAATAAAATAAGTCTGTTGAATGAATGGACTTTGGCAGTTATTAATCTAAGAGATCTGCCATATTTGATTAAGAACTGTGCCTGTAAAGAAAGCAAAGAACCTCATCAAATGCTTTAGAAATTCAGTTACTATATTAATACCCTGACCCATGTTCACATAATCTTTGATTTCTTCAAAAGATGATAATATTTTTCCGTGGCATGGCTTTTTTCCACAAAAGTTGTGTCTATGGTTTACTAATTTTGTTATTTATTACTAGCTTCTATTCAACATGGAAGTCAGATTGAGTGGTCTGCAATTCTTTAGCTCCCCAGGGCCCTTTGGTAAAAATTGGTTTTGTGTTTTCCTCCTCTGTTTGTTTGATAACAAGGCTGGAATCAGCAATAGTTATACACCACAATTGTTTGTCTATTTATGTTGCATTGTTTGGGAAATACTGAGTTTATTAAATGAAAAAAAAGTCAATAGGCT